AAATAAATAAATGGAAAAAATATTTGCAAATAATACAGGCATATATCAAAGAGACTATCCATCATGATCAGGTTGGCTTTATTTCTGACATACAAGGATGACTCAACATAAGCAAGTTAGTAAATGCAAATGGATCTAAAAATAAAAATCATATGATCATCTCAATATATGATGGGAAAAAATCCTTTGGCAAAATTGAACACACCTTCATAAGAGATCTATAGATAGCAGGACTGGAGGGAACTTACCACAACCTAATCAAGGCTATAGGTGACAAAGTCACAGTAAATGTCATCCTAAGTGGAGAAACTTGCCGAGCAATCCTATTAAAATCAAGAATCAAGCAAGGCTTTCCACCATCCTCATTCATTTTCAATATATTTCTCAAAGCACTAGCTGATGCAATGAGGAAAGAGGAGATCAAAGGGATACAAGAAGGAAAAGAAAAGTCAAATAATTATTATTTGCAGATGATACGATGTAATAATAAGAGACCTCAAAAATTCTACCAGAAAACTTGTGGGAAGGATTAATAGTTTCAACCAAGTAACAGGACAGAAATAAACTTGCAACTATTGATAGCTTTCCTATACATCAACTACAAACACACTGAAAAGGAGATCATGGACACACTCCCAATTCACAGTAGCTTCAAAGAAAAGAACATATTTAGGAAAAAGCCTAAGAAAGGAGGCAAAAGAAGCATTTGAGAACTCTTGACATCTGTGAGGGAAAAGATTGAGGAAGACTCTATATGGTAGGAAGACCTCCCAAGCTCCTGGATGAAGGTGAATCTACCGGAGCCCGTTTAAAGGGGTTTCAAGGATTTGTTAGGATACACTCACCGATACACAACAAGGTAAATAGCTGTCATGGTCTTCCATTCTGCCTAGGTGTGAATGGAACCAGCAGTCTGATTTCCAACCAGCACACAAGAGAGCAAGTGTCTGCCCCTCTCTTTCCTTATAAGTAATCATGTCTTTTCACAGACAAGAAGCATTGCCTCTATAGGACTAGAATGCTCAAGGTCATGGGTGGAGCAAATACCCACTACACTAACCCCTTTTGTCTAAATAAGAAGGTTCTAAACCTATTACAAAACTATATACAATAACTATTACCAAATGTTGTTCAAGAGAAAGAAAGGGTAATAACATTAACAAAAATAGAACTAAAATCAACAGGAACAATGTCAAGCAAGAAACACATACTAAATGTCCAGGCTACTGGTAATTGGCAAATAACAGAGATTATTCCAATAGTTGTCCTATCCTGAAGAGTCTAAGTCTTGTGCCCGATATACATAATATACCTTAGCTAAGATAAGAGAGAATAGTAACTATGACCATTTAGTCTGGATCTGTAGGTTTAATATTATAAAGACACTCCGACAAAAGCAATTTACAGATAAAGCACAATCCCAGGCAAAATCCCCCACATTCTTCAAAGAAATATTAAAAAGAAATCCTAAAATTCATATGGATCCACAAAGTACCTTGGATATTCAAAGCAATACTGAGCAAAAAGAAACATTCTAGAGTGATTAACATTCCAGAGTTCAGGATATATTATAGAATTATAATAATAATAAAATTACATTACCAGTACATAAAAAGACTCTAAGACCAATGGAACATAGTAGAAGACCCAAGCATGAGTGCATGTTTCTACAAATATCTGATATTTGACAAAACTGTGTGTGTGTGTGTGTGTGTGTGTGTGTGTGTGTGTGTGATAAACTTGAGCAAACTTGAAGTGAAAAAAACAAATGACCCAAATATAAAATGGGCTATGTATCTAAACAGAGTTCTCAAATGCATTACAAAATGGCTCAGAAATATCTCAAAGAATTTTTATTGTTCCTAGCAATTGGGGAAATGCAAATGAAAACAACTTAGAGATTTTTATCTCACGTTAGTCAGAATGGCAATATCAACAAAATTGCTGACAAAAATCTTTCTCTGTTGGTGTGACATAAGCTGATGCAACCACTATGGAAGTGAGTGTGGAAAATTCTCAAAAACCTAAAAGTAAATCTACCATATGAGCTGCCCCATGTCTTTACATATACCCAAAGGACCAGGCATCAACTCTACACAGACAATTGCTCAGCCATGTTCATTGCTAATCTACTAATAACAGCTATGAAATAGAAACTATGGAAATGCCCTTCAACTAATGAATGGGTAATGAAAATGTGGTACAGTGCTGCCTCTAGTTCCTTTGGCCTCCTTAGACCTTCAAAGGACCCAGACTTATTTCTAACCACATCCTCTGTGTGAGGCACTATACCAGGAACCACTGACTATGTAGGCCAATGAATCAAGAAGGGCATCCTTACTCTCTTTCCTGTCATGCATTGGATACTCTCAAGAACCTTCCCAGCTGTGTAGCAGACCACCTGCAGGGCACTATCCTTCTCCATCTCTAGTCAAATTACTGAGAAACACACAGATCCTAGTGGTAAACACAGCTTTCCTCCCTCCATGAATCCTCTCATCAACCCCCTTTCTAATCACCTCTAGTGGCAACAACTGTCAGGCAATCAGAAATACTTCATGTGAAGCAACCAACAGCCACAACACTCCACAAAGATCCAGAGAGCACAACAGAAACAAGGGGATGGAACACCCTACCAACAAAGGCAAGACCATATACAAACACCTGGAATTAAAGTCATCTCAAACTGGATGCCTACACATAGAGTAAAGTACAAACAGAAAATTATGTCTCCATCAGACCTTAGCAACCCTGCTACAGTAGACCCTGGGAAATCAGCATAGATGAAGCACAAGTTAAGTGCTTCAAAATAGCCTATATGAATATGTTCAAAGATCATGAAGAAGATATGAATAAATTAATTGGTGAAATATATGAAAACACAAAACAGTGGAATGAAATGAAGAAAACAGTTCAAGATGTGAATGTAGAAGTAGAATCATTAAGAAAACCCAAACAGAAATAAAACTAAAAATTAAAAATTAAGACTGTCAAAAACTTCAGAGGTAAGCCTGACCTACAGAGTACTAGAGATGGAAGGCAGAAGTACAGGCATTGAAGTCAAGATAGAAGAAATAGTTACTTCAATCAAAAACAATGTTAAATCTTAAAAAAAAATCCAGGAATTTTGGGTCACCATGTAAATACTAAATCTATGAATGTTAGGAATAGAGCAATTGTTTTAAACCTTCCTAATGGTTCAACACTTTAATACAGTTCCTCATGTTATGGTGACCTCCAACCATAAAATAATTTTGGTTACTACTTCATTACTGTAATTTTGTTTCTGCTATGAACTGTAATGTAAATGTCTGATACATCACTGTTATGAGTAACAATGTAAATATCTTATATTTCTGATGGTGTTAGGCAACTCCCATGAAATGGTCATTTCACTGCCCCCTCCATGGGATCACAACCCACAGGGTGAGAACCTCTGCAACAGAGGAAGGAAAAGAAACCTGGTTCAAAGGCATAGAAAATATTTTCAACAAAATCATAGAAGACAATTTTCCTAAGATAAAGGAGATTGAAATCAAGTTTCAAGCAGCATATAGAACACTAAATAGACTAGAAAAGAAATTCTTCACAAGAGATAACAACAAACACTAAATGTGTAGATCAAAGAATGTTAAAACCTGCAAGAGAAAAGACCAAGTAACATAAATGCTGACTCATAGAACACCCTCTGACTTCACAGTGGGGACCTTAAAAGCCAGAAGGGCCTGCACTCTTTGAGACCACAGATGCCAGCCCAGACTTTCAATTACAATAGATGGAGAAAGAAAAAGCATTCCTTGAGCAAACCAAATTTAAGCAATATCTATATATAAATCCAGCTCTACAGAAAGAGTGAGAAGGAAAACTTCAATCTGAAGGAGTTAAACACACCTAAGAAAACACAAGGAATAATCACAGGCCAAAAAATCAAACAAAGGAGAAAAAAAAACTCACATCATAACAACAAAATAACAGGAATCAATAAACACTGCTGTAGGGGATGTTGTAGCAATGCCTGCTTAGGGGCTGGCCTCGAACTCATGGAGATCCACCTGTCTCTGCCTCCGGAATGCTGGGATTAAAGGCGTGAGACACCAATGCCCAGCCTATACCTTCTTCTCAACACCTCATGGGACTTTCTTCAAAACTGAGCATATACTCAGACAAAAAGCAAGTCTCAGCAGATGCAAGAAATGGATATAACCCCATGCATGCAACTGAACACCACAGATTAAAGCTGGGTATCAACAACAGAAAGTTTACAGACTCATAGAAACTGAATGAAAAATGGGTAAAAAAAGAAATTTAAAACTTTAAGAATTGATTGAAAATGAAATTACAACACAGCCAAAGCTATGGAACACAACAAAGGCATTTCAGATGAGAGGTTATAGCACTAAGTGCCTACATACAAAAGTTGGAGAGATCTCATATTAGTAATTTAATGGCATACCTGAAAGCTCCAGAACAAAAAGAAACTATACCCAAATGGAATAGACAGCAAGAAACAATCAAACTCAAAGCTGAAATCAATAGAAACAAACTAACAACAACAAAAACTACAAATCAATAAAAGGAAGAGTTGGTTCTTTGGAAACATCAATAACATTGATAAACCCTTAGTTAAATTAACTAGAAGGCAGGAAGAGAAGATCCAAATTAATAAAATTAGAGACAAAAAAAGGGGAAATAGCAACAGACACAGAGGAATCCCAGAGAATCATAATAAGGACATACTTTAAAAATATGCAGCACAGCAAATTGGAAACCTAAAGTCCAATCAAAATACATAGTTGGTAACTGAAAAAAGAAAGAAAAAACAAACTTGTCATCATTCCTCAGCCCACCTCAGATCACCATTATCTGTCACTTTGATTTTGAAGTACCTTTTTATCCTTCCATTTTACAGCTCCATTACCATGTTTTAACTTATTCTACTTTTCCGCTGTGCCCAAAGCAACAAGATTAATTCTATTAAAATTATGTTTCTCTCTTTTTAGAAACATCCAATGAATGGTTGCCTGCAGAGATGGCTCAGGAGTTAAGAGCACTGACTGCTCTTCCAGAGGACCCAGATTAAATTCCCAGCACTCACATGGGAACTCATAACTGTCTATAATTCCAAGATCTGACATCTACACACATACATATATGTAGGTAAAACACCAATGCACTTAAAATAAAGATAAATAATTTAAAAGATCATCCAATGGCTTATAGTGTATTCAAAATAAGAAAATGTTTTCCAGAGTGTATATACCTGTCCTATATATCTGTCCTATCTTTATCACCAAAATGACCTTTTTTTCCAACAATTTTGAACCCAGTAGATGTTACTGCATCTAGCAGATGGTGGACACTAAATTAAGATTTATTAAAGAATACATTAGCCTCAAACTGTTTGGTTTCGTCAGCCATCTTTTTGTCATTTTGGATATGAAAATGGAGACTAGGTTAAAACTGCCATTAATCATATGATTTAATTTGTAATTAAAGAATAGCTTCTTTTGAATATAATGCAGTTTGGGGGCATATGATACCTAAAATTCTAATCATTTTACTATAAACTTTAGCCTTTCTTCTGCCACAAATTGAGTTAAGTGCGATTTTTAAAAAAATATTATGCTTAATGAAATTTCAACCTAATGACACTTTTGCTCCAGTATTAAATAAATCCTCAAATAGCATGAGAAATGGAAAGATAATATTACTTGATAAATACCATACAAAATATAAAATATGTCATAATAGTATTTAAATTATCATTCTGATTTATAACAATTACAGTTTTCCCTTAAAAAGAGAAAACAAGAAATTTGGAGAACACTATTCTTAATGTTTAGAAATTAATTAACAAATGTTTAAAATCCAGAGACTCATAAAGTCATACTTTAAAAACCTATACTCCCCAAAATTGAAAATTCTAAAAGAAATGGACAATTTTCTCAATAGGTACCACTTACCAAAGTTAAATCAAGATCAGCTAAACAATTTAAATAGACCTATAACCCCCAAGGAAATCAAATCAGTCATTAAAATCTGCCAACCCAAAAAAGTCCAGGACCAGATGGGTTTAGCACAGAATTCTGCCATACTTACAAGAAGAGTTAACACCACTACTTGTCAAATTATTTCACAAAATAGAAACTGAAGGAACATCTTCCCAACACTGATACCAAAATCCCATAAAGACTCAAGGAAGAATGAGAATTTCAGACCAACATCCCTTATGAACACAGGTGCAAAAATACTCAGTAAAATACTTTCAAACAATCCAAGAACACATTAAAAAGATCAGCCTTCATGATCAAGTAGGTTTCATCCCACAAATGATTCAACATATAAAATCAGTAAATTTAATGCACTATATAACAAACTGAAAGAAAAAATGACATGATCATTTCATATGGTAAGATTGACAAATTAAGTTGCAGTATAAATTTAAGTAAGAAAACATAGTAACTTTTTGAAAGACTAATAATGGACTTTCTGAAAACAGATATTAAGAAAATCCCTTCTAAGATACATCAAACACTAAATGTTTTAAAGTAAATTTCACTAAGTAGATGAATCATATGCATACTCACCACAATAAAAGGTTGGGAAGGAATGTGAAGAAAACACAAAGAAATGGAAAAATAGTTTGTGTTTATAGACTTGATAAATTAATATTATTAATATTTCCATATCATGTAAGGTTCTGTGAAGGGACAATGCAATCACTATCAAGATTTCAGTGTTATTTTTCATGGAAATAGGAAAAACTATCCTCAAATTTCAATAGAAACAGTAAATCTGAAGAGCTATAGCAACTTCAGTCAGAAAGAACAAAGTTACAGGCATTATATTACCTGATTTTAAACATAAGATAAACTTATAATCAAGCCAACACAATGCTAACATAAAAACAGACACAGAGCTAAAACCACAAACCTAGGGTCTTTTGTTTTCATTTTTTATTTAAATTAGAAACAAGATTATTTTACATGTCAAACCCAGTTTTCTCTCCCTCCCCACCTCCCTACCACCCCACTAAACCCTACCTTTCCCATTCCCATACTGCTCCCCAGTGAGGGTGAGGCCTTCCATGAGGGGGGGTCTTCAGAGTCTGTCATATCCTTTGGGATAGGGCCTAGGCCATTGTGTCTAACTTGAGGGACTATTCCTCTATGTGAAATGGGCTCCCAAAGTCCATTCCTACACTAGGGATAAGTTCTGATCTGCTACAAGAGGTCCCATAGATTTCTGAAGCCTCCTCACTGACACCCACATTCATGGGGTCTGGTGTCTAACTTGAGGGACTATTCCTCTATGTGAAATGGGCTCCCAAAGTCCATTCCTACACTAGGGATAAGTTCTGATCTGCTACAAGAGGTCCCATAGATTTCTGAAGCCTCCTCACTGACACCCACATTCATGGGGTCTGGATC